TGTTCTGACTTTTCTGGATTTTGACTTGTCTGGATTTTCTCCAGTTTCAGCTGTCCTTTTCAAGATCCTGAATTTTCAGAAAATTTTCCGTTTTTCAAGATAAATTGGCTTAAAGGCTTAAAGTAGGGTCCGTTTTGGGACCTTTCCTTAACTGGAACTTTCCTTTGCAGGATTCCTGAAAAGGATGGCTCCTGTAAAGGAAAGTTCCAGTAAAGGAAAGTTCCTGAAAAGGATGGTTCCTGCAGAGGAAAATTCAAGCAAAGGAGGGTTCCTGAAAACTATGGTTCCTGTAAAGGAAAGTTCCGAGCAAAGGAGAGTGCCTGAAAGCCATGATTCCTGTAAAGGAAAGTTCCAGTAAAGGAGAGTTCCTGAAAAGGATGGTTCCTGTAAAGGAAAGTTACAGCAAAGGAGAGTTCCTGAAAAGTATGGTATCTCCTTTTACTGGAACTTTCCTTTACATCAATCATAGTTTTCAGGTATCTATTTCTCCAACTATTCCTGGGCAGCAACCATTTTCACCTCAGATCATTTGGTGGTTGTTGCAATCCAATTCTGTTATTCAATCGAAAAAAGAAAACATGCATTTCACTTATTTTCACTTATCTTCACTTATTTTCACTTAGTTTCACTTATATGTACTTATTTTCATTTAGTCTTCTACTTTATTTGATTATAATTTCATTATTATGTTATAAGTTCACTTAAAAACCAAGTGGAACTTAAAATAACTTAATTTTTCTAATACAATTTAAACAAGATATTAGCAGGATACTAGCAACTTATCACATACTTATAAATTCATTAAGTGCCTGAAGTGATTATAACTAAATTTAGAGGTCTTAGTAGTGGATGGTGGTAGGGTTGTCTTTTGCTTATTATATAGGTTTTATAGCTGGATATTGCCGCTGACCCCGCCTCTGAACTTGATGTGAAAGATCTTGAAGCTTCCGGACTCTTGGTCTTCTCGCAGTGCAGGTTGTAGGTCCAGGCGCTTTTACAGCGCCCTTCAAGTCCAACCCTCGCAGCGCTCTTACAGCGCTGTTTGGACACTTTTACAGCATCCGGGGATTAGCACTTTTACAGCGCTAAGAGCCCGCTTGGACACTTTTACAGCATCCGGGGATTAGCACTTTTACAGCACTAAGAGCCCCCTGAGCTTAGTCCACCTAGTTTTTGAGACGAGCGACCAACGGTGAAGATGCCCTGAAAGTTCAAGAGTGAGCACTGCACAGGAAAATTAAAACAATGTGCCACCATGATCGAATACCTTTGGCAAGTATGTAGCAACACCAATACCGATGTCTCAGTTTCCCTCTCATTATCTTTAGACCTATATATAAAATTGTTTGGCCAAATGTTCACAGCAAACTGTGGAAACTGTTTTCAATTTGGAAGCCACTTTTACAGCAGCAACCGGAAGATGCAGCGCTACGTTCTCATTGCCAGCACAAGTTGCAATTGAGATGTGGTCCAAAGCACACATGGCTTGAAGGCTGCAGGCCAGCAGGAAACAACGAAACCAAACATAGAAATACCCACTAAATTGAATCTGATTGATTGTTTTTGCCTTAGTGTATTTGTTTGGTCGCCCTGCCCCCCCCTCCTTCAACTTCTGAGTCTGTCCGATATGGGCTGCAGCATCACAAAAGATCAATGTTTTCTGTGGTGGCACGTTGAACAGAGGCAACGACAAATGACTTTAAAACTCCATAATGCCCAAATATTTACACCAGTGTCAGACAGATAAAATGGATACTTCTACAGCATCCGGGAGAATTAAAAAAAGGGCGCTGCAATATGAACTATGATAGATATTTTTTGCACGGACCACGGACCTGGAACTTACATGAGAAAATTTGCTTTGCACATTGTATGAGATGACTTTTGAATAATGGAGGAGAAACATCAAAAACAACATGTTGTTTGAACAGCGCGCTTTTGAGTCATAGCGGACACTTTTACAGCATCCCAGGGAAAAATGCGAACAGATGCCCCACCTATCTTTTAAAATGACTTGCGACATGTGATAATTTTTGATCTTCACAGTTTTGTTTCTTGATTTTTTTCTAAGAACCACACACAGAAAACCCATCACCAAAAACCCACATCAAAAAAATGTTGTTTGAACAGCACCCTTTTGAATCATAGTGGGCACTTTTACAGCATCCCATGGAAAAATGAACTGATCCCCACCCATTTCTTCAAATAAAAAAGTGAACAGATCCCCCCAGCATTTTTTTCAATGACTTGTGACATGTGGAAAACTATGATTTTCACAGTTTTGTTTCTTGATCTTTTTCTAAGGATAAAAAACCATCACCAAAAACCAACATCAAAAACAACATGTTACTTGAACAGCACCCTGTTTGAATCATAGTGGACACTCTTACAGCATACCATGGAAAATTGTGAACAAATCCACCACCCATCTTTGTAAATGACTTGTGACATTTGGTAAATTTTGATCTTCACATTTGTGTTTCTTGATATTTTTCTAAGAATCATAAATAGAAAAACCATCACCAAACACCAACATCAAAAACAACATGTTGTTTGAACAGCACCCTTTTGAGTCATAGTGGACACTTTTACAGCATCCCATGGAAAATTGTGAACAAATCCCCCACCAATCTTTTGTAATGTCATATGACATGTGATAAATTTTGATCTTCGCATTTTTGTTTCTTGATTTACTCTAAGAATCACAAATAGAAAAATCATCACCCGCTATTTGTGGAAAATGTTGACCTTCATATTTTGTGTTTTTTGATTTTTGTTGAGATTGAAAAAGTATCATCACCAAAATCAAAATGGTAAAAGGTGGCAAGGGCTTAAATCAGCGCCAAGATGACTAGATACTTCAGCGCTGTTGCCTGGACGCCGCCCACTTCTGCGGCATTGCGCTTTTGCTGCTGCTTCGGCCGACTAGCTGCTGCAGCGGACGGATCGTCAGAGAAACCGAATCCTTGGTCAGCTGCTTGATCCTCCTCCTCCCAAACCACACCAACAATGCGACCGCGCAGGCCGTTCACCAAATTCCAAACAGTCCTGAGATTGGATATCAACATGACAGGGGCTCCCATGGTGAAGTGCAAGACACGCCTCAAACCACCAAAGGAATCGCAAGAGTACCGTTCCACCAAAGGATTTGATTCCACCGACCAGACACGTAGGATGCCCGAACCTCCTGCAGCTGTAGCATCCTCCCCCAAGCGGCGACCATTGAATGCACCGGCCCTTTGCTTTTCACAAAATAAATGCACTCGATCGCGTTGAAAGGAACGGATTTCTTCCGCTGACAGAGTGCAATCAGGACTTGTCATGTCGTGACTTTTCCACAAAGCAACATCTTCCTTCGTGTGGGCAGCATCTCTCAGTCTCAACAATGATTCCTTGTACTGGGAAGCTCCAGCTTGGCGGTGAATACGCCGCAAACGAAACACGTTGCTGATGTTGCGAAACAGACGGGCTCCGAGATTGACTTCCATGGTGTCCTTCCCTGTGGATTGAACAGTTCCATGGAGCAACGTCCTCTCATCCTTCACAGCCACTGGCGGCAACTGGCCAAAATCGCCAGCAAAAACCACTTTGACGCCACCAAAAGGCAGTCGTGCGCCACAACGACAAGGAGATGACCGATCACAACAGTGGGGGTGATAGCAAGCAAAGCGCCACTGCTGCAACCGCAGATGAATGTGAGCCAACACCACCTTCTCGATCATCGACAGCTCATCAAACTCAAGCACTGCCATGTCACCCAGTTCGGTCGCCATGCTTTGCATGTCCTCTTCGGACAACGGCTGCAATGGCCCTGAGCCGCGACTCGTCTTCAGACGAAATAGCGATACAATTGTTCGGGCGCCGCTACCCATATTGCTCGCAGCTACACCTGTGTAGGCAGCACGGACAATACGACCCTTCAAGCCATGAGCTTCTAACTGCTGATTTGCTGCTTGCATCGTGGTTGTTTTTCCTGTGCCTGCTGTCCCCAGAAGCAGCACGGGGCCGCACAGTTGCCATGGGCCGTCTTGGTCTGACGGCAACGGCAAGTTGCTCTGGCAGATGTCTGCGCTATTTACATATGCATCGCGCCATGCAGACATGTGATCTACAAATGACTGTTGGGTGGGATCCATCTGGGGTCCACTTGCTGCGTCTGCGGCTGCAGACCCGCCTGTTGAGTTAGTCGCTGACACCAGTGCGCTGGCTTCTTCATGGGACAAACCTCCCTGTGTGCTCCGCAGCGTCCTCACGTGTGTGCCGGGCAACACAGAATTTGCTAACTCGGCCGGACAGGCATTTTTATTTAAATTAGACACGTATGGATGAAGTGCATCCCATTCACTACGGGTTTCTTTATCTATACACAAAAGAGCATCTGTATCCAAGGGAACAAGTGTTTCAAACAAAGGGTTATAACCTGGTCTGCCCATGCTTTGTTCTTGCGTTGCCCCAGCAACGTAGCGAGCCCGCTTTGCCAGCCTTTCTCGTGGGTCTTCTAGATCCTCCTCCTCCTGTCGCCACGGATGCGGGCAGTAAACCGCATTCCGCCATAGTCCATCCTTCACGGAAGATGTCAAGTCACCTCCAGGACAGAGTGCCACACGTGCTCGTGTGCCGTGTCCAATTGACAACCCACACTCACGCAATGTTCTATCCTTAATCTCTTCCCACAGATCCGGATAAGTTTTCATCTTTATATTTTTTTGCTCCTTTTGCGTTGGCTTTTGAGACCCTAGATACTCAAAGTGCACCGCGCACAGTTGCTGTAGCGCGGCCTTCGGCAACCCTTCTTTGGCAAGCCCACTTCCTCGCTTGCTGTAAGGCATTCAATCAAAAGCAAGCATGTGAAAGACAAACTTTTGCATCATGTCGGTGGCCGACCCTACTTTTTTAGGCTTTTCTCCTAAAATTGCTTCCAAATATTTTTCCATCTGCAAACGCTTCGGCGTGGGCTTTTTTCCTACACAAGCTTCTTGCACAGAATACCTCATTTCACCTTGGCCGGGTTGCCAAGGAAAACCATGCTGCTCCGCGACTGATATTCGGTTGCCCACTGTATCTTCTATGTTTGGTCCTTGCTTACTACTTTTGGTACTTCCTTTGGGTTCTTTAGAACTGCTACCTGCATCTGCTTTATCCGGGACCGCAGCGGACATGTTTTTGCCCGGCTCGACAACACCATCAGACACTGCCGATGATTCAACCACACCAAGCGCGACGGGCAGAAAAGCCACATCAGCGCCAGTGTCTGCTGCCTGGCTTCCAGCTGAGGGTACAACACCAGACGCGACGGGCAGAAAAGCCACATCAGCGCCGGTGCTTGCTGCTTGGCTTGCAGCTGGGGGTGCATCGGGAACGACGGGCAGAAAAGCCACATCGCCCGTGCGACGGCCTTTGGCTTTCTTCACCTTGTTCTGGCGACGAAAGCGTTGTTTCAACCAAAGGGGACATACAGCAGATTCAACAAAAGTGTGCAACTGTTCAATGGCATCTTTGTCTGACAACAAACCAGGATCATCTGTCACTGCTACAAAAGGCCGGTGCAAGCGCAAAGCGTAGCGAGCCATATCCCCGGCATTGGGTCTCCTACTGTCTAAATTTAAATACGGCTTTTCTTTGACGATGGCATGCTTCTTGCGCAGACTTAACTTCTTGCCTCTGCGATCTACTCGGCCTACAAACTGTGCCAACGACATCTGCTGCACTGTTTCCGGCGTCAAATTGGTGCCAAAATTCGCATTCTGCAAACGTTGGGTGTAAATATCAAGTTTGGTCTGACGTGTCACTGTGGTGTCTTGACTCCCTGTTTGTATGGCTTGCAAATCTTTTAATACGGGTTGCTCCTTGGCATTTAGGTTCACGAAAAAACGGCTGGACAGCACACGGGGAAAATCGAACAGGATGTGCCAAGCCTCCAAGGAGCATATTTGATCTGGGACCGCTGTATGAATGAAAAGCTTGGACAAAAGGGATGTCACAGTCATGGTTTCATGGTCTTGCATGCGGCACAAAATGTCATCCAACAAGCCGCCAATGCGGCTGGTCGCCGTATGACCAGTGCCAAGCTTTCCCATATATTTTGTTAAGTAGTTAATGGCTGCTTGAATGGTTAACACCACCTGATCATCTACGTTGGCAACCAAGCCGATGGCTTTCAAGGGATCATGTGTGTTCACATGATGACAGTTCCTACGTGTGTAGAGACGATACAAACCTGTTCGTCTTGCATCTTCCAATATTACCGCGCTGCCGGGAGGCATGCGCGCCTTTTCGTAATCTTTACTGCAAAATGGCAAGGACTGTGTCTTGTGTGCGCAACTCTCGCTCTCGGCCGGGCGCCGAGCCACTTTAGTTCCTAAGCCTGGACGCACCACGCGCAAATATTCTGCTTGCGGCAACTGCTCCGCCACAGCTCCTGCCTGCACTAAAAACCAACTGGAGATGCAAGCATGGTCGGACAAACCCAGTCCCCAAGTACGGTCAAAACTGTTTTGGACCAAAGCTAAACTCTGCAACCGCACAGACCTCTGACTCTGACCTCCGCCACGGCGTCGCCGCTCTTCTGAGACCTTGCTTCCAGATTGCTGCTGAACGCCGGACAGAAAAGTCACAGCGGCATCCGAACTCGATGCGTCTCCTACAGGATCGGTATTGATACCGGACAGAGAAATCACAGCAGCATCAACACCGGCAGGCTCCTTAGTGACAGCTTCCTGTGGGACATCACGGTAAAATACCTTGGCTAAGTAAAAAACGCGATCAAAACGCCACGATGGCACCAGGGGGTGCGTCGTGTCCATCCAATCTTGACACCACGTGCCTGACAAAGTTGCATCAGCACCGTCCACCTCCCAAGCATCATCCCATTGTTCTCGGTACTGCTGCGGTATGCCTTCTTCAGCGTGCATGTTGGTATCCCCTGCAAAAATACAACCATCGACAGTTAAAGCTTCTAAGGCGCTCCAAATCGCATCCATCTCGGCTGTCCTCTGCATTACCTCCTCCTTGCCTGCCGTGCAATGCGCAGTGGCCAAAGCTAAACAAGCTCCATTCTTCTTCACCTGGACTCGTACATGCAACATATGCCGTACGCCCCCTGCAGTCAACGGAACAATGCCGACGCGCAAGCGCTTCAGAGTGGCCTTGCGCAAAAGCATGCAAACATCGAAACCTTCAAGCATTGTATGACCACGCTGTGCCGGGCTGATCACATCATATTCCAAGTCCCGTCCAGCAGCAAGCACGGCCGGCAATGCTGCCGGCGTCAATTCTTGCAAACAGAAAACATCATGCTCGGAAATCATTTCACGGACATCTGCACGCAATGGCTGCATATGCAAATTTAAACTGGCTACGGAAATCTCGGCGACATCATGGTTGATGTCGGTTCTGCTCTCTGCTTCGCCAGCTGCTTCCTCCTCTGCCGGAACTTCCACGTAAACTGGCGGCACTTCGACACCTACCCCACTGTGTCGATCATGCATGTTGCATTTCTCGGCAAGCTTGCGGTACCATTTGCGCCGCATGCGCCTGACAAGCTGGCAGTTATTGGTCATCATGAGTGCTTTCTGGTCTGTTCCTATCTGACACGGATGCCAATCTTTTTGCACCACCAAAGCATCCAAATCTTTCAGTAACTTTTTCTCCTCTGCTGTCAGCGCCCGAACCTTCCGGCGTCCAGCTGCATCCTCGACATATGCCATGCTTGTAGGTGTTGGAAACACCCGCACAAAATCTACATCTGAAGCTAACCCATGCTGACAAAACACATCTGCTTCCAAGCCAACTTGCAACTGCTCTTGCTTCTTGCTCTCCGCTGCGCTCGCGGTCAGAAAAGACACACGCGCGCGCTTGTTTTTGGGCTCCAAATCTTGTGTCTTTGCACTGTTATGGCACTCCAAATCTTCCGATCCATCTGATTCTGCATCTGAATGTAGTGGGGAGCCACCACTTGTCCGGCGTGCTGCTGCATTCTCAATGTCTTGTTCTGACCACTTTTCTGCTTTGCTCAGACTCCAGTCTGTCACGTACTCTTCATGCACTTGCGCAACGTCTTGGGCAGTGCGAATGCTCTGCGGGCACGGCAGTCGCCATTCATCTTGAGCGGGATCAACTCGCGGCATCTGCGCGCCAAAATTGATCGAGTGCAGATGCATGATACCGTCTGCACCCCACTCAAAGACTCCTTCTCCGTCTTCGTATTTCAAGACATGCTTGTAAAACAACTCCATTTTGTACCCTGTAAACCATGCTACAACGCCGGGATACTTCAAGACACGGCGTCTCTCTGCTGACAACTTGCGTTCGGCCGGTTCAAGTGGATCTGACCGACCTTGTCGCCGCTCTGTTACTGCAACCTCATACTTTTCCAAAATTTTGGCTAAGTCTTGCCAGTGGTAAATGGCAGTAGTTAAAGTTGTAAAGTGGCAAGGAATTTCGCCACCTGCTTGTAGGCGTTCTACGGCTTGTTGCAATTTCTGGACCAATCCTTTCACTTTGGCTTGTCGCTCACCACTGGATTGCAATTCTTCGTTCACCGTGTGGTCAGAAAAGACACGCACGGCCTCGCTTGACACCGCCTGACAGGGTTGCACATAAAACATTTTAAAAACAACATATTTGCAGCTACATGTTGCAAGTGACCAGTTGCGGTACCGGAAAGAATCATTCACTTCGAGTCATCCCCACGCAACAACAACGTCGACACTTGAAAAATGTGTAACGTAAAACAAGATATATCAAGATTCATACATTTCAAGAAATTAAAAGAAAACAAAAGGAAGATATACAAGTAAAAAGGTACAAAAACCTTCACCTGACACATCGCAAACTACACTGCCCTTCAATACTCTAGACTAATTGCATTACACGACACTACAGTACACCACACGACACTACACCACGCTCGTAACACCACCAGATTTGCAGCTGCGACTACCCTCATTACAGCACACTACACCACTACTGCTACTCCACCATACTGCAACTACAACAACAACTGCGCTACACCACTTGACATCCAGCAGTTCTGGCTGAGGTGACCCTCCAGGTGACCGCTGCAACCATTGAATGAAGCGACTCAAAAGCGTCACAGATTCAACCAACACTCCATTACACTACACCACACTACGTAACATACACTCCACTACACTGCTATAGGTTTCCGGTTCCACAGTACCCTGCCCTACACTACCCAACCTCTCATTCCACCACCACGAATTAATTGCACTACATCACAGCTGCAACTCGACTACACTCCAACTACGACAGCAGCACTACACCACACTACATCCAGCAGTTGTGGGTGGGGTGAGCAACAAGGTCACCACTACAACCGTGTCAGCCACTCCAAAAAACACAAGTCTAGCCACCTTACTGTCCGAGGTGCCATCACTGAACATCATGATTTCGACATTCCTTCCAAGACTCCGTCTGAGAATCTTTTGCTACATACATGTTGTCTTCTCAAGGCAAAAAAAGGAAGGCATTAAACGTAATGAAGCTGCCAAGTAAATCTAGAGACCTCATCTCAGATTGTCATCAAAACAATGCAACATAATATACAGTAACATAATATAACCTTGCAACATATCAAATGAAAATGCGTTCGATGATCATGATACTGATGATCATGATGCTGCCGATGATGATGGTTATGATGCTAGTGTGACGAAGCAGATGTAATAAAAATAATGATCACGATTTTAAGTGGAAAATGAGATCGGTACTGATGACGATGATTATGATGATGATGATGATGATGACAGTCATGAGGATGTAGTGCAGTTATCGCGGCCGATGATGATGGCGAAGCTCATGATGGTGATGATGGTGGTGAAGGTAAGAATGATGCTGATGATGCTGATGATGATGATGATAATGATGTTGAGGATGATGATGATGATGATGAGGAAGCTGATGACGATGATGATAAAGAACAGGACACTTGTTCTGCTGATGATGATGATGAGGGAGAAGAAGAATATGAAGAAAATGTTGATGATGATAATGGTGAGGGTGATGACGATGAAGACGATGGTGAGCATAATGAAGATAAGCAAGATAATGATCCTGATGATGCTGCCGCTGATGATAAAAAAAAGCGAGGAGCACGAGAATGTTGCAGCTAGTCCTGCTACTGCCACTGTGATTCTGATGACGATGATGATAAGAAGATGATGATGATGATGGTGATGATGGTGATTATGATGATGATGATGATATTGAATGGAGATGGAAATGACTAAATGACATGCAACAGTGTTACCACGTTTCGTTTGTTGACGTTTGTCTTGCATCCTCTGTTTCCGTGTTTGCGTTTTATTTCTTACGCACTCACCACAACGCGACTATACATGAAATACCAATATCATAATTACAAAACATAACACGCAAACCTACTCTGTAACAGCGCAATAGCATAGGTATAGTGTTTCCCAGCTTAACGAACCGATGGACGACACTACCGCGAACAGCTCACGCACACACAACGCTCACAAGCACGTGACATGCAACCAAATACCCATACAAGAAGATGCACAGGCACATAGACAGATAGTTGGATAGATAGATACATAGAGGATACATAGACACATCGAAAGATAGACAGATACATGGAGACACACTCTGATCGATAGATCGTCGGAGATATAGATAGATACACAATAGACAGATAGATAGATAGACAGATAGACAGGTAGATAGACACATAGAGAGAGATATATATATATATATAGACAAATCGATACAGAGACAGCTAGATAAATAGATAGATCAATGGATAGACGGATAGACACATAGAAAGCGTAGACAACGAACCGATGAACGACACTACCGCGAACAGCTCACGCACAAACAACACTCACAAGCACATGATATGCAACCAAATACCCATACAACAAGATACACAGGCACATAGAAAGATAGTTGGATAGAAAGATGTTTGAGCCTGGAACCAAGACACATCGAAAGATGGACAGATACATGGAGACACATTCTGATCGATCGATCGTCGGAGAGATAGATAGATATAGATTGACAGACAGACAGACAGACAGACGGACGGACAGACAGACAGACAGACAGACAGACAGACACACAGACAGACGGACAGACAGACAGACAGACACATAGAGAGATCCACACATATATAGACAAATCAATAGAGAGACAGCTAGATAAATAGATAAATCACTGGATAGACGGATAGACACATAGAAAACATAGACAGATGGTTAAATACCAAGAGAAAGAATACATAGATCGATACATAGACACACAGATAGACAGATAGACAGATAGACGATTGCGGATCCTACCGCGAACAGCTCCTACGCAAAGACCGCATGACAACGCGACGCGCAAACAGCAGCAAAATCACACACAACATATTATCCATCTATTTGTTCGTCTTATATGGTCGCGTCCGCGCATACGTCTGTCTAGCCATGCACTCACTACAATCTCTCCCCCCCCAAAAAAATCTCAAACTCATCAACCCCATATGACTCCGCCTCCGATCCCAACACTGTCTCCAAAACCTTCTGCGCTGCTCCACATTGCTCTGTCCAATCGCGATATTCACTGCTTCCCTCCTCCAAAACTTCTTGTCCAGCGTTCTTTGCAGCATGCCACAAACTGAAAACTTCCTCTGCTTTCTGCTCCAAGGTTTCTTGTTCGATCTGTTCCACCAATGCTTCCAAATCACTGCGTTGCTGCAACTTTTCTTGCGCCGACCCGATCATGGCTTGTTCAAAAGCCGCAATGACTTTCGTAAATTGGGCTTTGCCCATGTTCATCAACTCTTCATTTGTGTACGAATCGCTCGTGTTCAAGCCAACTTGGCGTTTCACAAAGTAGGTCCGTGCTCGGAGTGCTTTGTTGCGCAATGCTGTATTTAGCGCGAAGAAGTAAAATCTGGGATGCGCTTGGAACCGCCCATCGGATCTGAGGAGCAGATGCTTCAGCCACTCCCAGAATGATAAGGGTTGCTCGTTGTCAGCACGGTCTTGTACGTGAGCCCAATAATCTCCATGACCCAGAGGAAACAATTTCAAAAATCCGGCAGCAATATAGTAAGGGTGATCCTCGCGGATCAGCTGGTTGCGACTCAGCACCGTCGGTGGATCTACGATGGGCAACCCTTCCACACGACCGGCTCCGTGCCGCTTCAAACTTGCAGCTGTTAAAGCATCAGAGCGCTGCGCATCCAACAAAGCGTTCCAAAGGTCATCCTGCATTTCCTGCTGTGTTTGCTGCGCCGACAAATCTTCCGGGGACCAAAAACCTTCAGGGACCAAAGGCTGATCCTCCCAAGCAGCTAATTCTTGGACTGCTGTCAGCTCATCATGCAAGATTTGCTCCACCTGGTCATGACTGGTCAACTTTCTCTCCGATGCAGCTCCCCCGGCTGTCGGGTCATCAGACAAGACAGACCCTTGTTGCGTCAGGTCGTCCGCAAATAGGTACGTGGACACCAAATACCCCACCAACGTAGAAGTCACCAACTCCTCTGGTCCACCAACTTCTGCAAAAGACAACTCTTCCAACTTGTTCCTTAGGCTGTCCCAAGTCTTCTGCACACGATCCGCATCACTGTCACTCTCAGCAGGCTCGTGCAGCGCGCGCACTTGCGCCGCCAACTGCAAACACAAGCGCGTGGAGATCCACATGGCAAACAATTTCTTCTCGATTTTCTTCCAAATCTCCTGCTTGACCTCCTGCACTTCCAAACCGATCGGCTCCGCACCTTCTTCTGTGTTTGCAAATTGCTCCAAATTTTCTCGCTTGACAAAACGGGTGTCAAACCTCCTGGACGGAGAGCCACCGAACCGCCTTCGTCAACTGGCCGGCAAAGACGATCCAAAGCACGTTCCAAGCGAAGCCGCGAGGCCAGAAAAGGCACACGCTGCTTCCTATGTGGGTCCTTGTTGCACCGCCTGATCAACAACATCTTCATATCACCAACTGCTGCGGGGATGTCTCGGACGAACTGCGGACCATTTTGAAACAAGTTACCCACATGTCCTCGCAGCTCGCATTGACCTGTACCATACAAAGTAAAAATGCGAACAAGATGTTGGATCGGGGACAAAATTTCTTCCTCGAAAAAAGTCAAGGCGTCCGTCTCTGGCAAACTGTCTCCCGGATCTGCGTGATTCGCCGCCGTCAAGCGAAAAGGTTCCTTCGGCAGCTGCGCCTTGGCCCGCTCTTTGGCTTCGTGCAAGCAATTCTCACAGATGGGCTTACCAGGTTCCAACCACTCTTTCTCAGGCGCTCGGCAAAAATTGGTTTTCTGAAAGGCTTGACTCTCAAAGCCGCCAGGTAGGCGACTCTTGCCTCGGCCAGTTGCAATGCCGAACCAACCTTCCTTGCAATAGGCACAATCTTGAAATTCCATGTCCAGCATGTAAGCATCCACTTCGTGCACACGATGAAAAAATGGCATGATCCTGGCTTCTGCATCCATGCTATTCCCATACAACTGCCGCAAACTCTTGGGGAGCCTTGGGCGAGGCAGCTGGTCCCCGAGCACTGTTTCTCCTGCATGCAACTTTGCATCATGGACCTCCTTCACCGTCATCTGCTCCACCTTATGAATCATAGGCTCTAACGCCTTTCTAATCCGTTCTTGGTCTGCCGGCGCCAACTCACTCCACTGCCGACGAACAAAATCGTAACCAAATCGCAAATCTTCGTCGGTTTTCTTGCTGTGGCCACTGAAAAGCTGCTCGACACTGCTAGCTCCAAGCACCTTCAAATCTGCTTCTCTACGGCCCAACATCTCCAGAAACTTCTCCACCAGTTCTGTCTCAGAGACACACAACTCACGTTCCCACTGTGCGACCACTGCAAGCTGTTCTTCGGACAACCGGTGCAAATATCTCGTCAAAAACACTCCACAAAAAGACGACATAGGTCGGGATTCCATATCTTTGCTTTGCAAAATGTTTACCAAATCCTTCTTGTTCTGTGCCTTCAACTCGTCCCTGCATTCAGTCATAAAACGTTGTACCCTGGCAAAACAACGTTGCAGGCAGGGCAGAAAAGCCACAGCCTCCAGAGGGGACACCTCGCAAAGAACCAATTCCCAATCATCCAGCAAATCTCTTTCTTCGACTGTCAGCAAGGGATGCTGACGCCTAAAAAAATTTCGAGCATGCATCCACTCTACGTACCTGTTTGACTGGTTGCTCGTCACCACATCTCTCAAGGTCTGCTTTTGTAGCTGCACAATTTCATCTTCAAACTTGGCAAAAAACTCTTGCACACGCACAAATGCTAACGAGCAGGACCGACGAACTCGTTCTTGCGCTTCTGCGCTGACCTGACAAAGTTGGGCTTCCCACACTGCAATAACTTCCTTCTGTTCTGCTGTAAACCTTCCCACATGCCGCTCCAAAAAAACTCGGACGAAGGTCGACGTCGGAAATTGTGACATGTGTGGGCTTTGCAGTGCAAGCTGTAGATTCCTAGCGCCTACTTTCTGCAAAGCTCCCCCTTGCTCTGTAAAAAACGACTCAACACGTTGGAAGCATCTCTGGAGACGGGGCAGAAAAGCCACAGTCTCCAGAGTGGACATCTCGCAAAGAACCAATTCCCAATCATCCAGCAAATCTCTTTCTTCGACTGTCAGCAAGGGATGCTGACGCAAAAAAAACTTCTGTGCACCCATCCACTCTGGGTGGCGATGTGCTGGATTGCTCATGACCACATCCCTAAGGTTTTCTTTCTGCAATTCAAGAATGTCCTTTGCAAACTTTGCAAAAAATTCTTGCAAGCGCAGAAATGCCTGCGCGCACGAACGACGAGCTCGTTCTTGGGCTTCTGCACTGATCTGACAAAATTGGGCTTCCCACATTGCAATTATTTCGCTCTGCTCTGGTGTGAAGCTTTCAGAATACCGTTCCAAAAAGACTCGGACGAAGGTCGACGTCGGAAATTGTAGCATGTGTAGGCTTCGCAGTGCAAGCTGTAGATTCCTAGCGCCTACTTTCTGCAAAGCTCCCTTTTGCTCTGTAAAAAACGACTCAACACGTTGGAAGCATCTCTGGAGACGGGGCAGAAAAGCCACAGTCTCCAGAGTGGACATCTCGCAAAGAACCAATTCCCAATCATCCAGCAAATCTCTTTCTTCGACTGTCAGCAAGGGATGCTGACGCAAAAAAAACTTCTGTGCACGCATCCACTCTGGGTGGCGATGTGCTTGATTGCTCATGACCACATCCCTAAGGTTTTCTTTCTGCAAATCAAGAATGTCCTTTGCAAACTTTGCAAAAAATCTTGCAAGCGCAGAAATGCCTGCGCGCACGAACGACGAGCTCGTTCTTGGGCTTCTGCACTGATCTGACAAAGTTGGGCTTCCCACACTGAAATGACTTCGCTCTGCTCTGGTGTACATCTTTCCAAATACCGCTGCAAAAAAACTCGGACGAAGGTCGACGTCGGAAATTGTAACATGTGTGGGCTTCGCAGTGCAAGCTGTAGATTCCTAGCGCCTACTTTCTGCAAAGCTCCCCCTTGCTCTGTAAAAAACGACTCAACACGTTGGAAGCATCTCTGGAGACGGGGCAGAAAAGCCACAGTCTCCAGAGTGGACATCTCGCAAAGAACAAATTCCCAATCTTCGAATAAGTTTTGCTGCTCTACTGTCAATGTCTGCCTTTTGCGCTCCCAAAAGTTTTGTGCTGCCTTCCATTCCTTGACCTGCTTCGCGCGATTACTCTTCAGCACCGCTTCCAAAGTTGGTTTCTGCAACCGCACAAGCTCTTCGACGTAAGTTGCTAAAAATGCAACGGTCTTCCTGACACCGTCGGCCATGGCGGCGCGCAGCGGGCAGAAAAGCCACACTGCGTAACTACTCAGGGCACACCCACTCCGTAAACAAACAGAACCTGCGAGGTGACCTTTTTGTTGCTTAGTGGCAATGTTCGCTTATTACATCATTAATCCCCCATGAGCAACTTAAGACATCCAATCAACAAAATGAAACACCTGCTGCTGAAACTCTGGACAAAATGACTCATGTTCAGCTGTTAGATACACGAATGTGAGTGAATATGGCGAAACAAAACAAAGATGACTTTGGACCGATAAGTGTGCAAAGAAACATCACGCTTGGACCCATCGATGCACCGTCTGCTCGTGCCAACACTTATTGAAGACATGTCATGACCAACCATGTACATACACATTTCCTTTTTTTTCTAAAACATCGTGGATTGCGCATCAACCAAGTCACATCAGAACAAATGGAACGACAATTATCATGTAATGGTCCAACCGACATCGTCACGAAGTCTTTACGTTCATACTCAATAATTATTGACATTCTCGTCAGCCATGATCCTCAAAACCTACATGACGAAATCATCATACCATATTGAAAATCATTTTTTTGGTTGTCACATGGACATGTTTATCGAAACAGATACACCGTAATGCTACACCATTACACCCCCTACACTGCTATGATAGCAAAGAATGACACCAACAATTCATCAGAATTGAATAAAACCGACATGTTGATGAACCCAGGCTTCTAAGCATCATTTGAATAAGTTAAAGACCCCAAGCCGATAACATGTTTCATCATAAGATCGACAAGTTAAGGACCCCAAACAGATAACATGTTGATGACCCCAAGCGTCGAAACAGGATTGGACAGACACCCTTCATGCAATGATAAAGCCCACGTATTCATAAACTGAAGCTAACAAATCACCGGGAGTGTCATCGTCATGATTTCCTAAACATAACAGTGACATGAATCCAAGCTTCCAAACATAACACCATAACCATTTGAAATACATAGACCTACCAACATGATATCATAATCCCAAGCGTTTATCTTGAAAGAACTTTTGGTCTTTACCTTTCCCAAGTTACAACACCAAATATTTGAATCACATTAGATCGATCATGATTAATTCTCCTTTAATCCCACATGGTGTACTGCTATGATGGCAAAGGAAAATATGAAAAAGTGTTGCCCATCCCTCCGACGTGTTTTTTTCTAACAACAACGGATTCCAAGTGCTGATGTGCCATCATGCGGTCAGAAAAGACACACACGCTGGCCTGCAACGAATTCTTCGGCGTGCAATGACTTACGGATGAGCGCGATCCAATGCAATGAATACGCCTGCAACGATTTCTTCGGCCTGCAATGAATTACGGATGCGGCAGCGCAATCCTGTGCAAAAAGATACACACGCTGACATGCAACGAATTCTTTGGCATGCAATGAATTACGGATGCGGCAGCGCGATCGTGACATGAATCCAAGCTTCCAAACATAAGAACATAACCATTTTAAATACATGGATCTACCAACATAATATCACAATCCCAAGCGTTATCTTGAAAGAACTTGTGGTCTGCGGTGGATGCAATGAATGACGGCTGCTGATACGCCATCGTGCGGTCAGAAAAGACACACACGCTGGCCTGCAACGAATGCTTCGGCATGCAATGAATTACTGGCCCGCAACGAATTCCAAGAGCTGATGTGCCATCATGCGGTCAGAAAAGACACACACGCTGGCCTGCAACGAATGCTTCGGCATGCAATGAATTACGGATGCGGTACTCAGCCCGTACTTACCCGTGAGTTTTGCCAGAAAAAAAGGCATCAGCATGCGAACTTGCTCCAGCATGGAATGGAGTTTAGGGTTAAAACAAATTAGGGCTAAACGGATCTTACGGTTAAGGGATTTCCGGGTCAAGGCATCGTAGGGTTAAAGGATTTAGTGTTAAAGGATTTGTGGTTAATCCACTTTGGGGTTACAGGATTTTAGGGTTAAAAATGTCGTAGGGTTAACGACTTTAGCGTTAAATCGTGATCGGATTATAAAGACTAGTTAAAACGATTTAGAGTTAAAAGTATCTTAGGGTCAAAAGACTTAGGGGTTAAAAGGTCTTAGGGTTCAATGGGCTTAGGAAAAGAGGATTTTAGTGTTAAAGGATTTTAGGGTTACGGACAGCTTAGGATTAAAGCATTTTAGGGTTAAAGGGATCTGAAGGTTACATGATTTAGGTGTACAGCCTTCTTCGGCATGCTGCGAACCACGGACGCTGCAGCGTGATCACGTGCAATGAATTACGGCTGCTGATACGCCATCGTGGGGTCAGAAAAAACACAGACACGCTGGCCCGCAACGAATGCCAAGTGCTGATGTGCCAACATGCGGTCAGAAAAGACACACACACACGCTGGCCTGACAGAATTCTTCGGCATGCAATGAATTACGGATGCGGCAGCGCGATCGTGACATGAATCCAAGCTTCCAAACATAAGAACATAACCATTTTAAATACATGGATCTACCAACATAATATCACAATCCCAAGCGTTATCTTGAAAGAACTTGTGGTCTGCGGTGGATGCAATGAATGACGGCTGCTGATACGCCATCGTGCGGTCAGAAAAGACACACACACGCTGGCCTGCAACGAATGCTTCGGCATGCAATGAATTACTGGCCCGCAACGAATTCCAAGAGCTGATGTGCCATCATGCGGTCAGAAAAGACAAACACGCTGGCCTGCAACGAATGCTTCGGCATGCAATGAATTACGGATGCGGTACTCAACCCGTACTTACCCGTGAGTTTTGCCAGAAAAAAAGGCATCAGCATGCGAACTTGCTCCAGCATGGAATGGAGTTTAGGGTTAAAACAAATTAGGGCTAAACGGATCTTACGGTTAAGGGATTTCCGGGTCAAGGCATCGTAGGGTTAGAGGATTTAGTGTTAAAGGATTTGTGGTTAATCCACTTTGGGGTTACAGGATTTTAGGGTTAAAAATGTCGTAGGGTTAACGACTTTAGCGTTAAATCGTGATCGGATTATAAAGACTAGTTAAAACGATTTAGAGTTAAAAGTATCTTAGGGTCAAAAGACTTAGGGGTTAAAAGGTCTTAGGGTTCAATGGGCTTAGGAATAAAGGATTTTAGTGTTAAAGGATTTTAGGGTTACGGACAGCTTAGGATTAAAGCATTTTAGGGTTAAAGGGATCTGAAGGTTACATGATTTAGGTGTACAGCCTTCTTCGGCATGCTGCGAACCACGGACGCTGCAGCGCGATCACGTGCAATGAATTACGGCTGCTGATACGCCATCGTGCGGTCAGAAAAAACACACACGCTGGCCCGCAACGAATGCCAAGTGCTGATGTGCCAACATGCGGTCAGAAAAGACACACACGCTGGCCTGACAGAATTCTTCGGCATGCAATGAATTACGGATGCGGCAGCGCGATCGTGACATGAATCCAAGCTTCCAAACATAAGAACATAACCATTTTAAATACATGGATCTACCAACATAATATCACAATCCCAAGCGTTATCTTGAAAGAACTTGTGGTCTGCGGTGGATGCAATGAATGACGGCTGCTGATACGCCATCGTGCGGTCAGAAAAGACACACACACGCTGGCCTGCAACGAATGCTTCGGCATGCAATGAATTACTGGCCCGCAACGAATTCCAAGAGCTGATGTGCCATCATGCGGTCAGAAAAGACAAACACGCTGGCCTGCAACGAATGCTTCGGCATGCAATGAATTACGGATGCGGTACTCAACCCGTACTTACCCGTGAGTTTTGCCAGAAAAAAAGGCATCAGCATGCGAACTTGCTCCAGCATGGAATGGAGTTTAGGGTTAAAACAAATTAGGGCTAAACGGATCTTACGGTTAAGGGATTTCCGGGTCAAGGCATCGTAGGGTTAGAGGATTTAGTGTTAAAGGATTTGTGGTTAATCCACTTTGGGGTTACAGGATTTTAGGGTTAAAAATGTCGTAGGGTTAACGACTTTAGCGTTAAATCGTGATCGGATTATAAAGACTAGTTAAAACGATTTAGAGTTAAAAGTATCTTAGGGTCAAAAGA